CCTATATGGCAAGTGTGAGATTCTGCCATAGCAGCCTGGGGTCTGTGAGCACTTGATGTGTATTTTGGAGTCACTTTTGTCATAGTAATTTGATTTGTGTAGGTACTATTTCTGAACTTTGTTTTCAAAGCTTCACAGAAAGTCTAAAAAAGTGGCAATCTGAATGATTAGCAGAATTAGCATAATCAGATCTTCTTATGTAACTGCTTTTTTGGGTGAAGGGAGTAAACATTTTCTGGATCTGTTCTATTCTATTAATTTTTTTAGCTGTTTTAAGATTGATTATAAATTGATAATTTATAATTGATAAATGTGACATTAATGATGTCAATTACAATCACCACTATCTCCCAAAAAAACCCAAACCAACCAGAAAAACAACACAGTCAACAGTCAGCACTTTAGAACTAAACAGGACTGAACACTGGAATCACAGAATATCCTGAGCTGGAAGGGACCTATAAGGATCATCAAAGCCAACTCCTGGCCCTGTACGGGACACCCCAACAGTCACACCATGTGCCCAAGAGCATTGTCCAAAAGCTTCTTCAACTCTGTCAGGCTTGGTGCTGTGACCACTTTCCTGGGGAGCCTGTTCCAAACAAGTAGAAATACTATAGCATTGTCTTTTCTTCAGTTAATCATGTTAAAAGCAATTATGTATTCTGCATTTATAATTGAAGAACTTTACAATGGATAGGCCTGGTGGTGGGAGTACAGATGCACTCTTAGCTTTAAAACAAAGTACATCTGTACAGTAAATACAAAACAGTAGATACATTTAGCTTTCAGTAAATGTAAATGTATTTTTAGCTTTTTTTTTGAGAAAGCCTAGTAAGAACATTGCCTGTTTCTGCCTACTCTGCCGATCCATTCTGGACCACAAACTGTGCGTTAAAGAATTCCTCAGCAAATGAATGCAGTTGTGTAACTGTGCAGTTGCCAATGCCACCTTGTGGATAAACTGCTATAGCACAAAGCCTTGTCCAGAGCACCATGCTATCAAAGTAAATAGTCTCTCTATCCACTAACAAAACCATCCCAGCTTACCCCATCTTAACACATTTACATTCTATCAGACACCACTTAAAATTTTTTTTTGCACTCACAGTGATAACTGAGCTACAAAAAATAATATTAGCTGTAAAGGTCAGTATCTTACACTCATCATAAGCTTTCTGCTGCCAGGCTTGTCTTTTGCTCAGTCAGGTGAGGCAATGGGGGTGCAGAACAAAAAGACAGTGTCCATGGAAGTGTCCTGGTGCTTTGTATAAATGGTTTGCACAGATGGCTACTTCCAGTGGGAATACCACCTGCACTGCAGGTGTGTTGTACTGCAGGAAATGCACGTGTCCTACATTTCTGCAGTACATACTAGATCTGAGGGAAAAAAACATCAATTCTGACTTTCAACTTCAGTCAAATGTGTCATTGCTTTCCAGTTTCCTAAGTTAGAATATTAATGGTGCTCTTCTATGAGAACATACTTGGCATTGTACCGCGTAAGGAGATTAAGCTCTTCTAAGAAATGTTTCTATTTTGCATTCAGATATGTTCAGCTGCCAGTTTTGCATTCAGATACGTTCAGCTGCCACTGGAAACAGCTGAACATTGGGTGATACATTGTGCATGATGAATTGTGATTCATCTGGTCAAAATAAAGGATTATAATGGCAAGGAGTAAATGAGTGCCAGACCTTGTCTCTGACTTGGTCACGTGTGTATTGTCTGGTAGCAGAAGGACTGACTTCATCATCTAAACATCTTCACTCTGTTTTTAGAGCCAAGTGACAATTGGCAATTGTTGCAGGAAAACTGAATAGTCAAGCATGACTTTAGGGAAGTGACAGTCTTCAAGGAGCTGCACCTGACTGTACTGCAGTGTTTCTTTCCTTTTCCATCCAGGCTGAAACAGCTGAGAAACTGAATTGCTAAAGGGGTGGAGAGAATAAGGCAGACCGATCCTGTTTAATTCAAAAACTGTTTCAAAAATAAATTCCAAAAGCAGGCAGTGATGAAAATACGTTTGTCTTCTCAGAGCTATGGGTCAAAGAGAAATTGTATACACCAGCTCTTACTAGAGCTTTTCTGAAACCTAGAGTATTTTTCTCTTATTTCAAAGAGACAAATTTAACCTCCCTTCTTTGACATTCCTCTCTACAGGAGGCACACAGTATGACTGCGACCATGTTGTTGTCAACACAGTCAGTGAAGAAAAGTTAACGCAATGTTGGGAACCGCTGGTTGTGTAAACCCAGTGAAGCAAAGATGACGTTTGAATTGGCCACTATTCTGGACACTGGAATTGGCACTGCCATCTCTGAAGGATACAGGATCAACGATGAGAGTTTTGTCTTTTCTTCACAATTTTAAAAAGAACAAGCAACAGAATTATTTCACCTCCCTATCCAAGATTATTTTCCCTATAAAAACTTGAGTATCTCAAAACCTTCCTTTTTTTTTTTTTTGTTTTTTGTTTTTAAATCCTTACAATTCAGTGTTGGATAGAGATTTGGCAGTATGCCTCAGGCTAGAAGGGAACAACTGAGAGAGACCCCGTGGAGTTACAATCATGTCAGCGAGTAGTTAACCCAGTATAGTCAGTAAATGCAACTTCTTTTATAAAGGACAGGAGTGCAGTGTGTATGTGGGTATAGCAACTTGGACCTATGGGCTGTAGTATAGAGAAATATTCACTACGGGAAATTAATATATTTGGTTCACTGGAACAAACTTAAACTTGTGTTTACTGAAAATTTATCTACTGCTAGTACAGCACATCCAAAGACATTTTAACATGTGGCTTCAAGTATAGTTAGTATGCTAATATATTAAGTCCTAAATTAAGAAAAAAATCTAGATTTTTTCATGTATAGACGATGTAAAGTAGCAGATATTTTGTTAGAAAAAGAGAGGGCTGGCAAAAGGATGCATTAGAATGTGAAGAATTTGCCCATTTTCTAGGCTGCCTAACTTCTTGAGTTGTGGGTATTTTTCTTCTTTCCAAAGACGTATTTGTACCTTCTAAAACCGTTTCAGTAAGTAGAGTCTTACTGAACTCTGAAATCGTACAGAACACAAGAATTCTTAGGGAAAGAATTACTAAAAATGACTGCAAAAGCCTGTCAGCACTGTGGTTACTGAGTTTTCCAGCCACTGTCTGTTGGGCTTACCATGGAGAATGCCCAACTCCCCGATATTTCTGGAGATGTTGAAAAGCAATGTTAGTGGTGGGCTCCTGGCTCCCCGTTGGACAGAAGCGTCAGACTCCTCTAGGAAGGGGCACAGCCAAGCCTGGATACATGCCCAGCCACAAGGGCTGTGCCCATTCCAAGTAAGTGTTACTGGTTTAGTAAAGAGCTTGTGACATGCAGGATGTTCTGATGAGTGCAGGAGGTCCTTCTGTTGCTCTGCTTTGAACCTGGCCATGTTAGTTTTCCTTAATATTGGCAAAAAGGTAAAATACAAACTCTGGTACTATGCTGCTGTGTTTTGTTCTGGCTTAGACCAGTGTTACTACAAGCTGCTCCGAGGAGCATCCAGGCCTTTGTATTGCATAGTAAATCTGTTTAAAATTAACATTTTCATTACTATTGTATTGTCTCAAAGGATACTGGTGCTTTTGCTATTAGCACCCTAGAGGAAGTGCCTTACTAATTTTCTTCCTTTTGTAAAGATGCACCGAAGTTTTGTTGCTCTGAAATGTGCTGCTTTTAGTCCTTAATAGAAAATATGATGTTACTGGTTCCAAACAGTGGTACTTTGTCATATTGATGTGCTCTTGCTATATATAATATAGCATTTTACAAATAAATATAAGTTAGGTAACGTTTTTTATTGAAATTCTTTTTAAAGGTAGAAAAGGGACATTTTATGATTAGTTTTGCTTTCATCTTGTGCCCATCTCTGTCCATAATTCCTCTCCGACAGCCAGCCCCGGAGGAGTGAACACAGTGTGGAATAGTACAGGTTCTGAGGAATGGGTGATTCTTCTTCTATGCAAGAAGAATCTTCTGCACATGTTTGTACACATACTTGTATAAACATTTGTGCACAGGGCCAGTATTCACCCAGCTGCAAACTTCTGTCCCCTGGTGGAAGCGCTGCATGACATGGTTTGTGCATCACCACAGCTGCACCGCAGTAAATGCACAGCTCTCACTTAGCAAGTTGCCACTTTCCTTCAATCCACCTGCATAATTGCAGGGGAAGTTACTCCATAGCCCATGTCTGGCAAAATGGCAAGCTGAGAAACAGCCCACCAGACACAAACACCCCCTCCAGCGCTTCACCAGCACTGATGAGACACAGCAGGAACAGGGACACAAAATTGTGCCTACCTACCTGCACATACACTGCAGTCAGCTGAATCTGGGCCAGGAGTTGAGTTACAGATTGATTTTGTTCCATGCTTCTATTTAGATTAGCTATGTCATGAGAGAGTTGCCCTAACAAGATCAAAGTATCAGTCTTGAGACAGTAATGTGACCATTTAGTTCTAAGAATGAAATAGCCTGATGACTAATCTGCATTAGTGAAAGTAAACAGAAGTAGGAAAACCAAGTTAAAACAGCAGAGGTTTCATGTAGACAAGTAGATAAGAGAGTGCCTCACCATTTCAGAACTTACACCTGAAAAATGAAAGCTCCAAGATACACAAAAGGAAAATGCTGCAGACTGTTCCTCGTATCCTAAGAGTGAGGGGTGTTCTGCAAAAGCCACAACTACATTTTTAACATGGTTTTAAGGTAGAAATGCTTAAGACACATTAGTATGTCTTGTCTGCTTTTTAACAGGCAGCATATGAAGGAATCAGAGGCTTTTCTAAAACAAGTTACAAGTTACGCATCCTGTATGAGCTTTTAAAAAGGAAACACTCACTACATACCAATTAATGTTCAAGGACTGACTGCAGGCAGTTACAAGTTACACATCCTGTATGAGAGAAAAAGGAAACACTCACTACATACCAATTAATGTTCAAGGACTGACTGCAGGCAGAGATTAGAGATACTTTATTGTCTACTAATTACATTGATCACTGTTTTTCCACGTGCATGTCCTCCTTCCAACTTCAGAAAGGCCTCTGGAACTTCAGAAAATGGGAAGACTTCATCAATAACTGGTTGAATCTAATAGAATAAAGAAAAAATGTCACTATATTAGGAATAAAGTATTAAGTAATGTATCACCCTCACACTTCAAAACTGTATGAAGGAGTGGGGGAGGTTTCTTTATGGTATTTAGGACAGAACTTGTCATGTAGCCACTAGCTTTTAAGATTTTTCAGGGATACCTCTGCATCCCGGAGAAGGTTTTCTGCTGCTCTTTGTGTTTTGAAACACCTCTACTTTGGAGCCCTAACCTGGGTCCTCTTCCACTAATGCCACCACATAAGGCTCTAACTTCTGTGTTCTTTCAAAAACTACACTGTGGTTTAACTTTTTGTTGTCCACAATGATACACTTACAGAAAGAACTTTTTTTTTCTCTTATATTTCTCAACTTGTTTTCTTGTTACACTCAAGAATTCTCACAATGTCAGATATTTTAAAGATACCGATAAATCAGAAGCCTGTCTGCATCAGTACATGGCTCAGTACCCTCAAAAGACCACAAATGAAGTACAAAAAAATGTCCACCAATGTTTGCTGCTGAATCATGTAACTACACTTGAAAATTCAGCCACTGTGTATTCCAGGAGGCATAAATCACTATGAAGCCCAGCTTGCATCAACTGCTATTTTGACATTAATTTTGTAGAGTGGCCTTCTGGATTGTTTTAGACTCATTTTTAACAACAGTGAAACTACTTATTCACTCTCCCCATTATTAACTAAGGAGCCTGAAACCCCTATAAGCATTTTCTTTAGATGCCATAGTGTACCAACAGAAGAAATTCCAGCTCTTCTGAAAAATATTTGTCACTGCTGGTCCAAAGGAAGAGGTGATTTTCTACTGTCAAGCATTCCAAGTCAGCATTCCAAATGCCAAAAAAATATTTGTCTACAGAAGTACCTTTCACACCTCCTACCAAAGATCTGCCTACCCTGAGGTTGGTCCTTTACCTTGGATCCTGTATCACCAGCCCAGTTCATGTCCTTGCACTGATTATAATCCTTTTATCAGAGGAAAAAAATTACCAGTTCACGAGTCTGCAGCTAGCACTTGCAGTGATGAAGATCCAAAGATCCAAACACATTATTTACAGTGCTAGAAGAAGATCCTTTTCACTTGTGTCAGGGAAAAAGTATCTTCTGCATTTTCTTTATAGCTGTGAGCATGCACCCTCTCTTGTTGAATAAGCCAGAACTGGTAATTTAATCTTTCCTAGCAACAGAGCCAACCACCCAGCACCCTCCCCAACAGCACAACAAATGCTCTCTGATAGTTGTCTGTGCTCAGGGAGGTCCTTTTCCTAGGTCTCCTAATTTCCTCTTAATTTATACACTGTGACTTACTTTGATGTCCACTCCTTGCACTTAAATAACTACTGGCTTTGCTTGTATGATAACAGGAATCCAAGACATCAGTACTCTAACTTGCACCACCTCACTCACTAGATTTTCCTTTTTATTTTGTCATAGCAAGCTTAGCCATAGTGTGAAACTTTACATGGCAGAAAATCAGGAATGAATGAACCTCCTCCAAAGAATGCACTAGAATTTGCAGACAAATCACTTTGAGAGCAACTGTGCAAAAACATAACGTCACCAAATCACCAAGTGCCTCAGAGTTGCCATGTAGCAAGGTACAAGGCTTAGTAATTTTTTTCTCTTGTCTGCCTGGACAGTGTCTGTAAACCAGCCCCTAGCAAAGTGAGTAGCAACACACAGCAGAGGAGCCACAAAGATAGCCCAACTGTGGAAGAAATGTTGGGTATACATGATCATGTTCAGGACAAACTCATATCTGGTCAGCATTCAGCACAGAATGGAAATGTTGTCTTGGCCATCAGCAAAATCAGAGACATGGACTCAAGGCAGCAAAAACACTGAATTAGACAATGGTTTGGTAAACTGAGCATCTGAGAGCAGCTGCAGCTGCTGTGACCATCAGCAGGAGGAACGTGCTGCTGATCAGTACTGACTGTTTTGAGGAAGACTAACCCTTGCTTTCATAGCAGATGCTTGGGAAAACACAGTTCAGGAACTTTGTTGAGCCAAGCACTTGTACAGTAGTTATTGTTAGTGGCAGTTGTGTACAAAGCTGTGCTTCAATTAAGAGGGAAAAAAGGGATACAGAAACCCAGCCTGCTGATGCATGGACACAGATGACCCTGACAAGGCAACAGGCTAGGAGAGAGGAAAAATATTCAGGGAAGAAAGCAGAGCAGCAGCACATGGGATGTGAAGTGCAAGGGATTCTAGGGAAAGGCAGAAGTTAATTTCAGATGTGCAGCAATTGAGAAAACATGAACAAAACACTTTACTGTTCTGCTAATCCACAGTCCCTTACTCTAGGTTACAACTTATAACTCTGTCAGAGTGAGATATGTTACATCCTCAGCCTGTTGGGTAGAGTTTAAAACACTGCATTTGAAAAGTGGTGACACAGTGATTCAGAAGAGCCCTGAATTCAGCCTCACAGTTCAAAACACCGTGTGTATTGCAGCCACCACATGCTCAATGCCCATCTGCTACATTGATGCAACCTCTAGCTTCATTTAAATGCTGGCTTTAGGCAGTGCTATAGAGAGACATGAATACCAAACTGATGATCCTGGCAATCTAGAGCATTAAACATTTTATCTGGCTGGCTGGACAGTCCCATTGTTTGAATAACCCTGAAAGGGCTGACCACGTTGCAGCACAGTGATTCACTCAGCCTTTACCATAATCCACTGACTAAGATAAAATTTCTTCCTGTGAACAGACAAACAAGTAGGGGAGCGTCTGCTGTTTGTTGAATGTGTGATAATAAATGGAGATTAACTGGATAATAAAAACATTGCCTATTTACAGCCACGCATCAGTTCCTTGCCAGAGGACACCTATTTGTTCAGGGAAAAGGGATTAAACTAAAGTCTGGGAGAGAAAGGATTACACATACCCACACTGAAATGTTTATCTGAAAACAGATTGGGCCTGAAAGGTATTTTCTTCCTCTTCATTCTCTCCAATGCAGGACATACATAGAAATGAATCTCAGGTCTCTTGCAATGAACTCATGTGTTTGGAAAAATAAAAAGAGTAACTGCTGATGCTGATTAAGGCTATCCTACACACATCACAGAGGGGTGTCCCAGCCACTCCAGCTCTGAGTGCAGTAGGCAGTGAACAGCACTGGCAGGAGTTGGCTGGTCAGCAGAACACACTCCTGCTCGTGGCAAATTCATGCTCACCCCTGGAGGTCCCACTTTCTGCGGTAGCAAGGACACCGTTTTAGGTTATCAGGAGGGGACAAGTGAGAAAACATGAAAGCAATGGAGACGGCTTCGACCCTCATGGTAGCAACAAGTGACTCCAGTAGGTGTGGAGCTTTTTCCTGCCACTGGAGGGAGAGCGAGAGCCTTGAACTTCTCAGGAGAGCGACGGACGGAGCGCAAGCCTAGTTCAGAGCGCAGAAGGACACAAGGGCCGTCTCTCACAGGACGGTGACAGTGCACTGGCTCTCTTCCAGGTCTGCAAAGGATGGCCGTGTCCGAGCTGCCGGGCAGCCTTGCCTGGGAGAGTGCCTGCCTCCCCGCTTCCTGTGCCTTGGTGAGGCTGCTCAGGCTCCCATACACCACCCTCCAGGAAAGGAACATGCACAGAACAAAACCAGACATCCAAGTCCTCCCGAGGGCTTGCCGTAATGGAAAAGACCTGCCTGCTGATTTGACTAGCTGAGTTAAAAGACAAAGGCTATCTTCCTCCAGAAATTACCACCGGGCCTAAATGCAGTCCATGAGCACAAATGCAGAGCTTTATGGTCTCCTTTGGTCTTTAGGGAGTTTCTCATCAATGTCAACAAGAATCGTGATGAGAAATCACTAAAAAGAGCAGTGCTTGTCCCAGAACTAAACAACTGGTTATCCATTTGTTACTTTATTGTCATCCTATGGGGAAAAAAGATGCCCTTTTGGGACACTCCTACTTTAGCTGGGCATCTTCTCTGCTCCATGCTCCTTGGATGCTAATCTCACTCCTGTCTTCATTCTTTCTTTCCCTTAAAATGGCATGCAACAATGTATGCCGAGCCTCATATTGCTTGCCAGCAAGATCAACAAGGGCTAGGGTCAGGCCCCACTGAAGAGAAAGAATGAAGTCCCTACCTTCTGCAACAGCTAGCTCTGGTCACACCTTGTACAGGTAGCCTTGCAAATGCACAGTTCCAGCATACAACTGTAGCATGGTTTGGGTTGGAAAGGACCTTTAAAGGCCATTCAGTCCAACTCCCCCTGCCACAGGCAGGGACACCTTCCTCTAGACCACACTGCTCAGAGCCCCATCTTTGAATGTGTTGTAAAAACCTTTCCTTGCTGGGCTTTTTATTAACTTGTATTTCAGAGAATATGCACTTTCATCCATGAGCACATTAAAAGACAGCATGTACATGATATTTCTGTTCCAAGTACCTAAGAGAAGTAAAACTGAGCAAACAATACACCCATAACAAAAATGGTGCTGCAGTGGTTAAGACGTGGGAATGGAAGGCAAGTGTTCCAGGGTCTAATCCCACAACCTCTTACCAACAACTGTATTATCAGGCCTTGTATGTTTCATTAATAAGCCAAAGTACATTCTTTTATATCAAATCTCTAACAGCAGCCCACAGAAACTTATATATATCATGTACAATTATTAAAATGCTAGCAGAAAAATCCCAGTTAAGAAGGCTATCAGGGTACAGTTCAGAGTGCAGAAAAGGCTTCAAAATCTCTTGTTTGTTAATTAGCCCTGGCAGAACAGCTTCTACAATAAAGAGCAGTAAGAAACTGGGATAAGCCCAAAACTGCAATGCGTGCCAGCCTAGCCCAAGCTTAAAGCAGTAGAAATAAGGAAGATGCTGGATTTAGTTACGTACTGGACAATGCTAAAAACTGTTAACTAAAGGAAAGTGCAATTAATCTCTTCTAGAATCCCTGATAAGGCACATTCTTGGTAGTTGTCCTGATATTTATGCTGGTAATTAAAGTAATCTAGGTCAATGTCACCATATACTTAAGGCAGAACCAACTTTGGTACAGTTAAGTATAAATACGTATTTACATATGAAAGCATATAATATGTAGAGATTAGAAGACTAGTCCTGCATGATCCACATCTTCCCAGTCTCAGCAAACTAAACTCACAGCAGACAAGGGCTGCCTTGTCTGCACTCTACCCCTGCACTAGGCACAATTCCCTCCTACACCAGGAGGTTAGAGCTCAGAACACCAGGACTGACTTACCACACAATTTACACTTACATCAGCTTAAGGGAGCACATCTGATTAAATGCCTGGCAGATGATGATGCTTTTTTCCCAGACCTCATTGTGGTGAAAGTGAATTTACATATTGAAACCCTATTTCCCCACAGTATACAAAATTTCCATTGGTGCCCTTCACAGACACTTTGTGACACATCACACACACAGCTCAGCACATAAGCAAGCTACCATGTCCTGAAGGAAAAGGAGCAGGTATGTTTTAATAAAAATCACAGTGGCTTGTTGTTGGTGGCTGTGACAAAATGCAGATAGAGGTTCTTTTTGGAAGAGAAAGGGCTGAACAGAGCTTTTGGCAACTCCTCCTTGGTCAACATCTCTGTCTCTAGCCAACCAACCTGGCAAACAAATGCACTGCAACAGGAAAACAAAATTAAAAGCAAAAAAAAAAAAAAAAGGGGCAAGCTTTGCAATTTAGCATGAAGAAAGATGGTCATCAGAACAACCATGCGTGACTCAAAAGAGTGGGAAGAAGGACTGATCTCTAGTTAATTAGGTACCCTAGTGCCTAATTTTTCAGAGAGACTAAAGCAGATACCACACAAGGGCAAGTTCTCAGGTATCTTAGGACACCTTAGCACAGTCATAAAGTCTGGAATTACTGTACAGAAGGCCACATCTATAGATGTCATGTTTGGAGAACATTCAAGGACTCAAGTGTTGCATTCACTGTTTGATATTCATACAGCTGAGAGAAATGCAACAATACGGAAATAAGGGCCAGGGAAAAAGTTATTTGCAGGACTGTAACAAGATGAATTGGAAGCAAATCAACACACAGGTTAGGATACAGAGTCCAGAAGCTGTGATGACTTTATGGCCATCCAAACAACTCTCAGAACCCATGACATGTCAAAGTGGATGACCATATCCATCCATTTGTGTTATTTACTTCCTGAATAGGAAAGACCAGGAACAGAAGACAGTTCAATTCCTCATTTTAACAAGGTATCTCAGAACAAATCACCAAAGGTGAATAAAGGGCATTAGCCCTCATTAGTAGATCAAGAAATTATGGTAGCAAAAGGTTATGTGATTTGTTCAGCATTGCACAAGAAGGCAGCAGCAGGGCCAAAGGACAGTCAGCATCCTGCCCTCTAAACCATAGCAGCAGGTGCTAAGTCCAAAGCATCTAGTACCTTCAGCAAAATGCATAATCAACACTACTCACAAATTACATTAATATAGGCAGGCAGTTGTTCTTCCTGTGGGTGCCTGTGCTGGAACATCTATCTAAAAAGCAAATATCAGAGGAAATTATCTATTCATTTCATGATTGGAGACTCTGCCGTTTAGCCTTCCTTCTGCAAGAACAACTTTCATTCAAGAGCCCATCTGATGCAACAATGCTCTGAAGGAAAGTGTATTAAGTCACCAGAAACACTGCACACACACATGTACTGCATTTAAATAGCAGTGAATTAAAATGAAAATGTCACATTTCTGTTGGGCTGCATGTTAACCCACATCCTATTATGGTCCTGCAGGAACACACAACACACTCAGTGCTCCAGCTTCTGACACTAAGGAGTCTTCTGAGCCTGCTTTCCTCCACCAGGCTTTAAAAAAGGCAAAGTAATTCCTCAGTTATGAGTTAGAGGCTTCTACCAAGCCTTAAATACTTACATGAATTTGCCCTGTTTTCAGCAAGGACTATATGATATGTCCTTAGGAGGAAAATGCTGGGCATGCAGCAAAAACCAAAACTGTCAATGTTAAATCCACAACACTGACCACTGACCATGAGACTTTCAGTGATGATGCTTCACTGAACAATGTGCCAGCAGATCTGTGCCCTGAATTAAGGGTTCTGTTGATTTCTGCTGTCTTAAGATGAGAATTGTAATTCACCAGGAACATTCTACCATGGAAAGAGACAGAGCTTCTGACACGGGCTTCGTCAACTCATATGGTGGAGCCCACATTAAGCCATTCCTTACTGGGTCATAATTTACTGCTGCACTTCAAAACACAACAGGGATTCTCCAGCAGTTTAGAAAATAGCCAGTCTCTCTAAAATTTGTCAAGGAAATACTGGGTTTTCTCCATGCCCATAATTGTTGCAGCAGCCTCCCAGCCCCTCAGTCTTGGAATAGTTTCTTTGCAAGATGTCCATCTGCAAGGCAGAGAAAACAGCTTGTAAACTGAAAATGGTTCTGCAATTCCCAGAACTGACTGATGTGCAAGCAAATTACACAAGGAAAATTATTCTCTGTCTTTGTACTACCAACTCATCAAATTCTCTCCTTCATTTCCCCATTAAGAAAAGGCTGTTAAAAGAACTCCTCCTCAGAGCTGACATTTTGCAAATCTCTATTCCTTGCTGCAAAGATTATCCAGGTGAAAACCAAGTAACCTTAAACAAAATTGCTTATTCTTCATCCACTGAAAGTTTGAGAATCCTTTTGCTTTCACAAAGGAAGATGATGAACTCATCAGAACTAAAAATCTCTGTTGGTACAGAAGGACTGTAAGGAGAAACACTGTCAAATGAAAATTATCTGTAAATGTTTCAGAGATATGCTCTTCAACACTTAACTTACTGTAACATCTCTTTAAACCATCATCTCTTTTTAATTTCTTACATTTAATCCCCCCATAAAATTTATTCCTGAAAAAAGGCCTCTCATTTTCAGGAGCTTTATAATTGCTCTCTTACTCACTTCATACAATCTCAAAATTAAAATGTCTTTAACAGAAAATGAAAAAAAACCCCTGTATTACTCAAAAATATTCACTCAAAGGTAAGAAGTTCAACTACATGAGCTCAGTTTGCTGGCTTCCCCAAGCTTCTTTATACACTTCATTGCTTTCTGCTTTTTTTAATTTCTCCTTTATTCTTTCCTATCCAAAAACAAACATTTCACTTACTTATAGGAAATTGTGGTACAATTTCTCCAGTGATTCTCTCCTGCCTTTTTTCCCAAACACCTACTCTTCTGAATGGATGGTCTGTCCTTTTATGAGAACTCTTGTGTCTAAACAAGAAAGGTCACAGTCTTATTAATATCTGTCTAAATGGAACACAACTGAGTCTTATAAAATTCTGATGACAGCTCAGATGTTTACAACATTACACAAAACAGAGTAAAATGCTGCTAGAATAATGACTCTGCAGACAAACAGTCTGACATTAGGACCTGTTTTTGCACAGAGAATAAAAGACCAAGCAAACATCTTTGTCCTCACGATCATCTTACAAGCAGAAGTACATCAGGACATTCATGTATGTATGACGTACATTTTAAGTGGCATTGCAATTCACCTGTCCAGGTTATTAAGCAAAGAACACCGATTAAGCCCTATCTCTATTGCATAAACAGCTGTTTCCCAAGAGGCTTTCATGAGCATAGTCTGCATTTGTTTTGCATACAAGGTAGAAGCAGAACACAAAACAAATTGCAACTGGCTGAGAACAGGACAAATGGTAAGAACAAAGACAAGGGCATTTCTTTTTCTTAGATTTTCTTATAATTTAGCAGTGTGACTGAATGCAATCACAGGATGAGGACCTTCTACAGCTTCTTTCTTGATCACAGGAGTATGCCTATAGCACTGGACATAATGCAAAGCAGAGAATTTTTTATTCTGAGCAGCACACTGAGGTGGCAAAACAGAAGCAATCAGGTCTTCATTACAAGAGCAATTTATTGACTCTTTTCCAAACTCTGGAACATATTGCATACCCAAAAAGGGGGATCAACACTCAGACTTTGAGAGATCTAAATTTCACTAATAAGCACAAATTTTGAGCACAAGATGGCAGTTCACATACTGGAATTCCCAGCAGTTATGACAGACTCTGCTTACTCTTCTACTTGTCTATCACATAGAAAGATTTACAGCAGTTGTCCATATTCTCTACTCTTGGATAATTTCATGTTGCCAAAATTCCCAAAGAGGACGCTGCTGAAGCCTATATCACCACACAATCCAAAACATAGGAAATCAACTGTTCACTCTCACAATATATTTTGTAACAAGCTCATAAACCTGAAAAGATCACAAAAGCAGACTTAATCTGTCTTGGCTCTTCCCCCCAAGTCCACTAAGATTCCCCAGAAGCTTATGAATGCTCACAATATTCCAAGTCCCTGCATTGAATTAGCACAAACATCAGAATCTGCAGTACTGAAATAATGAGAAACAAGATTCTTGTCACCACTCTGCAATGGAGATCATCTATTACCTGCAATAACCAGAATATTCTAGTTCTGTGCAAACTACGGGCAGGACGCCCAACCACCCAGGCTAAGCAATTTTGCACATGCAGATACACAGCCATGTTTATTCTGCCCAAATGAAACAAGTGAGACCTCTTAAAACATAGTTTTCATATAGAGTTCATATTAAATTATTCCCACTGGCAAAAATAAACAATCACTGTATATTACTCCTTGTAACTTTGTAAGCTTGTGTTTTTAAAAAGTACACTCAAGAAGGAGAAGGCAGAACAGTTTTAAGTATTATGAACTCCTAAATTCCATGCAAAAGGCAGAAGTTAGAAACTGGAACAAGTTGATTTTTAACCTGTTTTCCTTACCATGATTCTCATAACATTTTATTTCTCAACAGTGAACTACACAATTTTTGAGTCCAAGCAGGATCTCTTTCAGCACAGATACTCAAGTAACCATTACTGACATACCTTTCCAGAATCAACCAATTCTGCTATTTCATCCAAACTTGGGCCACTTGGCATGAAAAATGCCCACCGATAATGGACTCCTTTAAGGAGGTGCTGCAAGAAAGATCACAAATCTATTAAAATATCATGAGAGCAAACTGAAACGGGAACTGAAATTAATGACAGAATCTCTGAAGAAGTAACTTAAGAAAAAGACATGGAAATTATATCCTAGTCTCTGCAAAAAATGGCACCTAAGCATGTGAATTAAATGTACAGACAAGGATGTTGTGTTACCACAACAGGGTCAGGGTGAATTGTGTGTCCAATTGCACAAGTCAGCTAGTAGAGAAAAACAATTACCTTGTCTCTGGAGCTAGAAACAGCATTATTTATTACATAAGAGAGAAATGGTGTTATTTGTTCATGTACACTCAAAACAGGGGTAAAATGAACCCAGCAATGTGACATTTAGAACCTTCCACTTCAGTATCAGTGACTTCATTTCCCACCATAATATCTGCCAAAATCATCACTGTCCAACAACAGATGGCAGCTCACATGAAAAGCATTTTGGGAAGATCTCACACGCACAAGTCAAGAGCATCTCCTCTGAATAAGTCATTACAGGAAAAAAAGTCATCATCTGCCAAAGAGAGATGATTTTTATATATGGTATAGAAGCCTCTTCATCATGAAAACATGCACACTGAGAAATAATACTACATTATTTCTTCTCCCCCTTTTCATTTTGTCTTTGGGTTTTCTTGAGAAGGTTCTGCTGCAGGACTTAAAATCCCATTCAGCCAAGCCTTTGCAGGAATACCATAGCAACTGCTTAAAAAGCATTCATTTGGAGAGCAAGTACACAAGCATAGGGAAGAAAGAGAGAAGTTCTAAAAAGCCCCACTGATCTGGCCACTGGCAGAATGTTTTAAGATCCACTTATGAAAACTAGAAAAATCAGTATCACCATCTAGACACATGAACATGAAAGAGATGAAAGACTTCCTAGCCACCCTCCAACAGGCTTATTACTCTCTGGTGCTGGAACAGGATGAAGAGAATCAGTCATAGAACAATGTTCTGAGAGAAAGCCTGACCAGCCTAAAGCAAGTAACAAAACTGCCCTCACTTCAGTGAGGCAGGATTTGCTGTGTTTACTATGAAACACTGGCTGTCAGCAGGACTCACTAGGGAGGCCATATGGAAAAGGCCACAATGGAAAGCACAATAAGGAATCAAACTTCAAAGATCCCCAAACTACTACATACACCCAGAAGCACCACCCCAACACATTTCAGTGCAAGAAAGAAAGAAAGAAAGAAAGAAAAGTACACTTAATGACATATGAGGACAATGCAACAGCTGCCTCTCCATGAGCTCTGTGACTGACATCCAAGCCACAGAAGTAGTCACTAAAGTACTACAAAATATGAAAGTACATAGAATTTTGTCAAATACCTTTAGAGTTTTGGAGCCGACAGTGACTCCTGTTTGCAACATGCCATCAGCCACTCCAAGTTTGTCCATATTGATCAGGAAAGGTGTCACTAAAGTAACATATGTTGCTCCTGACCATTTCTTCAAGAGATCTAGTGCCCACTTCTCAGTGGATCCACCAACATTATCTAGGATAAAATCAAACCTGCAGACATACAAAGAACAAGTTTAAAATCTTGACACGGGAAAAATAACTTCACTGTAATTAAACTAATTAATAGCAGAAATCAGCTATAGTTCACATTTTTACATATCACTGCAATGAAAAAAAAAAAAATCAACCTGCAAGATAGCAGCAATAACGTCCCAAGGCTTCAGCAAAGTCCCAGCTTAATGTACAATGGGATTTAAATTTACAGGTTATTGTTTATTCACTGTGCAGCAGACACAGGCTATTTAAAAAGTACACTTAAACTCCAAAAAGCAAACTTAGATACACGACTACATTCTGTACGTGCTTAAAGCCTTCTAGAGCTCTATCTCTTCAGCCCTCCCACAGAGGCTGTTGGAACAGTCTTGAGGTCTAGCACTGAACAATATGATATGTACATGTAAAAACCAGTCTGGACTCATGCCCTCAACTAGGAACAACTTTTGTACATGCTGTACTCAAGAAAAGTCAGTTCCAGTGGCTAAAATTACGTAAACAAATAAGGGCTCTACTAACGCTTATTTCCTCACATCTTTTCCGTGACCCAGTTCTCAGCTTCACTTCTCCAAGTTTTTTTTTTAACCTCCTTATTTATTTAGGGGCCATTTTACCTCTCCTGACAGCTCTTTTCCTCACATCTACCTATTTAACATTGAACCTAACAATGCAAGGGATCTAAAACCTTGCCCCCATGGAATGGGTATATGCAGCCTCTGGCAAAAAGCCACAGTTTCAATGTTCCTTCTCATTATACCAGCATGTGAGCCTGTAAAGGCCAATTAGGGCAGTAGGGAGCTATGCACCTGTTCTGTTAAATGCACAACTCATTCTCATCTGTAAACTTCCAGCAATCTCCAGATTGCAATAGATATGTACATACACATATCTCTAACCTAAATAATCTACAAATATGAGAGAAAATAATTTATACAAATTAAACAGAAAGGTCCTTATTTCTCTGGAATGATGGTTTTCCTGCCTGTCTTCCAAGAGTGTGATTTCATGTTTAAAGTTCAGTTTATGTAACAGTTAGCTGCCAACAAGACAAGATCATGAAAACTAATGCTCTGGAAAGAGTAGCTGACTGTGGGTTCTGAAGAGTCAGTACAACTGCAAAGGGGAGGGAAGTAGGAACACCCACTCAGCAGAGCTGACTGATCAGCCTACTTCCATCAATTAACTGCACCCCAGGACACTGTTGTTGATGTTTCTTAGAAAGGGGTCGCTCACTAGAATGGGTGGTTAGCATTTAAAGTGTTCACAGAGGCAAATTTTGCACCAACTGCAAAGTCCATCCTGCTGTACAGACAGTGTCACTGCCCTCTCAACTGCCCCCAGGCCTGCTGACAATCACACTACAGTTAAAGGGCACACGGCTTCTTAGCACAGTTATCAGTAAAATTCTTCCACAGACCAAGTAGCTTCTATTTCCCCTCCCAAAAAGTTAGCTCAATCTAGCTAAAAAGAGCAGTGTAAATACCATATTCAAATACAAGTCACAGTAGACTACGTTTAAACAGATGGAAAGATGACAAAAGCAAAAAATACTTCTGTTCTGGAGAAAAATCTAAAGAAAAAGGCTAGTTTAAACATAGCTGCTGTAACAAGATAAATGTGATTGTTTTTCAGAGGCAGCTGTATGCAATGTTACAGAATAGAAATTTACTCCCCATTGCGTTGTACAGTGGCAAGTCACTGCTCCTTCATGATCTAGTTCTTCCCTCTACAAGATCAAGTTTATATTTACCAGCTTCACTCAGGATTTCAGAGATTTATTTCAATTTATTCATGCATTGTATATTCTCCAAGATACTTGGATGGAAGCTACAAAACTGTTCACATTACAGTCACTGAAGAGAAGCACATGGAAGTGAGCTTGTCTCCCAATTAACTGGCTTAGTGTTACAATAAAATCTGTGCTGGGCATACTCACTTGCAAACTGCATTCAAAAAGGTGAATCTGCTTTACAAAATAATACTTTAGAAACAGGGGGAAAATTTAGGGAGTTCTGATAGAGTCAAGCAGTCAAAAGGCAGAAGGTCTGACCACCAGCTCCTTCATCTCAGTATTAAAGCAACACAGACACTCACAAGGGTAATGTTTTAAGCTGCTCTTCCAGATTTCCAGACTTATAATCAATCACATCATCTGCTCCAAGCTTTTTCACCAGTGTGCTGGCATCATGAGAGCAAACTGCTGTCACATGAGCATCCCAGGCCTTCATTAGCTAAAAACAAGTATCAAAAAAAATCCAAAGATTAAAATTTAGTGAAATATTGAGAACAACTTAAAAAGCCAAAGTCTCATTATATTTATATAACAAATGCGCACCTGGGGAGTGGGACTGGGGAGAGTGTTTCTATACAGGACAATTTGCCACAAATCCCAGAGACAAAATAATGGCTAGAATTTATCAATATTTAAGGTGGTTGTGGGGAGGGAGGCGTTGGTGTGAAGGAAAGAGTGTGGGGTTTTGTTAATGCCACTGAAAGATACCAGGTCTCATGAAAAATAAGGCTCTCAGTTTGCCATCTGTATGTTTAGTCTACCAGCTAAACATACACCAAGAGATACTGTCCAAGTTGCCAATCAACCAAACTGGCACCAGATGTACCATTAAATATTATTAAATATGCCCTTTAAGTATTTCATATTACTGCAAATAGGTTAAGTACTAGTAAAAAGAAAAAGAAGGAAGTCATCTCTGGGTTATCACAGGGACAGTATCAGGTTATCTTCTACTCCAAAAGCTACAGCAAAGTAAAGGACTTTTGCTAGTTATTGATCTCATTTTGCATCTCATTTTTTCATTCACAGTAACACTTTTTACCTTTATTCCAGGTTAATTAACTTAGTTTATCCAGGATTGATCAGTTACAAATTGTAACTAGTCAGTGGCTGGTCAGCCTTTCATGCTGAAAGTCACCTGCTTTATCATAGATCAGGCAAATATCATACCACAAAAAAAATCTGCTGTAAACCCCTTTAAAACCACTGTGCTTATGGCCTAGTAACACAGAAAGCAGTGATGCAATCATCCAATTTCTGTATTTTTTTATAATCTTGAGAGAAAGATTTTTCAGCATGAGATGATAGTAATTAGAATCAAAACTCCCAAATTAACTGAGAGCATGAAAGAGGATGTTCTACAACTAACGAAGCAACAAATGTTGACTTTCCAAAGTTTAGAGCTACTGGAACAGACAGACAAAAGGGCAGCAGGGCAAAGACAGTGAGGGAAAGTAAATCTAAGCCTCTGTGCTTTACAGCCACTGCACACAAAAGCCTGACGGCCTCTCACATCATTTGACCACCTACAGCAGCTGTGGTAGGTGACATTCGCCATCAGTTTTCCTACTCATACACCGAGTTCTGCTCATATTTAGAGTGCAGAGCTGAATGAAAGATAATGAGAACAGCCTACATATTTCAAGTTACACCAATTTCCTGCACCCAAATTGTGAAATGTGATCTTACACACAACTCCTTTCTTTGAAAGTCCCTGCTTCCTCCTTTAAAATAATACAGCATAATAAACGGAAAGCAATAAATCTGAAAATACTTTACTTTAGGAAATATCAATAATCTCGATCAGGCAGACTGATCTTGCTATTAATCTTGCTATATATACAGCTTGCTATTTCTCTATTCCTTCTCTCAATTCCCTTTTGGGTTTTTTTTAATACTGAAACGCTTGAAGATTCATCCTGGGCATGCTGGATAATATTACCTGTACAGCAAATGTACCAACTCCTCCTGAAGCTCCTAATATTAATATTCTGTAAGAGAAAATTAAAATATATTTAATAGTTCTTTAAATAAACTCTGGAGTAACTATGTATTCTAATGCTTCGTATACAACTCTGATGCTGAATTATTTTTAGCAAAAGCTTGGTTTTGTCATTCAATGTTATTCAAGAGTGGTTAATTGTTCCGATAGCCAAAAATGTGACTTAACATTGCTGATCATGTGTCCTGTGCCAAATGCATTATCTCAGCACAGCCAAAGAGACTTCCTCATAGGTGCTTTCCTCTAAATGCAGGCAGTGAAGCTGACAGGTAGTAGCATTTATATCACTCAAAGCCCCTGTACCTGTCCTCACTTTCCCAAACATAATTGTTTCGTTTGGGACAAAATCAATTAAGAGCCCTTCCTGTCTCCCAGACTCCACCATCACATCTCCTAAAGAAAAAAATGCAATTCATCAGCATTTTAAACAAATTGGTCCTATCTAAGAGAAAAAGTAGTTTAGTATCACATTATTTAAGGAGACTGTGAACTGCAGAACACAAGGAACATAATTTTCCCATATTGCATAATGTTTATCTAAAAGACAAAATTACAATGAAGTACCCTAACGAGTTTAATTTCTATTAAATTAAGATGGGTGTATTTTTCTTTAGAAAAAAAAAGCAGTAGAATTTTTCTAGTTCCTTCCAATACATCTCAACAAGACCCTGTAAATGCCAGCTTGAGGGAACTGGCACACACGCAAGAAAATGACAGAGTATATGGCCAAACTGTTAGCAATTGAGAGTTCATTTTAACTGATAACCCTAAATTTAAAAAAAATACAAGCTAACTTGTGTGAGAACCTTACTGCTAGAAGCCTAATCACTGTTCAAAAATTTCATCCAAATACTTCACTAAATAACTAAACATCAGAAAGTGAATTAGCAAGAAAACCTTGCAGCTCAAGTTGCAAACAGTGCTTTGACTTTAGATCCATTTGCTAATTCTAGGACAAAAAGAAGATCCAAGATGAAGTCCTGGCATAGGACTGGGGAACATCATGTTTCTCAGAGCTTCTGTTTGCCAGAAAAATCTCAGAATCTTCAGAAGTTGGTGAAATTCCTGTTTTAAATCTCACAGTAAAAGATGTTGAAGGAAATTGTTTTTTACAGTACAAAACTGTACTATACAATCTGGAGTCTCAGTTTACAAAAGTTCTTTGAAGCAGCCTAAGAGACTTGGCTTTGGTCACACTATCCATTTTAAAATGCTCTTTTTGTAAGTGATCAGATTCTGCTCCCTCCCATTTCACTGATCCAAGCTGCAAAATTCAGATTAAGAATATGAAACCACAATACCACAAAGCCTGCAGCTTTTAAATCTGCCAAAATGTACTTATCCTCAGAACCAGGCTTCTAACAACAGATGCCTGGAGCAACATGCATATTTCGACTTCAGTATATTCGAAAAGGCTCCGGGATCCTACACTCCAGATATTGGGTTAAACCCATATTTATCCTTGAAAAGGAAAGTCACAATTAAATCCTTTCAAAAAAACCTTTTCAAACTGCCTTTACAATTGCTCTCCTCAGTTAAAGGGCATTTCTTCTACTACATATTTGGGGGAAAGCTGTCATCTTAAAATGTACAATTTGCTCAAAGGATTTAGGTAACGTTTTCAGTTTGGGGAGCAGCTTGGCCAGGACATTTTTTTTAGCCCCTTCAATAAAAGCCCTCAGGATTCCTTCACGTAGAAGGAACACTTTCCAGATTCAGTTTGTTCCTCTGTTACACGGGCTGTTTTCTACTACACCTTCCAATTATTAAAACTCTCTCCACACGTTGTGACACCAAGAAAACTCTTCATTTCTGAGACAAACTACATCTGCACAGGAGATTCATGTGCAGCAGCTCAACAGCACTCACAGCAGCAAGACACACAAGTAACAGGGGGAGTGTCTGAAGGTGCAGGACCCGTTAGGACAGTACTGAATGACAGATGGTGGCAAGTGACAAAGCAGGAACAGTTTTGTTTGCACTGCCTCAGGAAAACACAGCCAGGAGAAAACACATCATAGAAACTACCTGCTTTCACTGCAAGGGCAAGCTCAGGAGTAAACTAATATACAAGTATTTGCACCAGGGACCAAATTAACAAATACTCTCACCTGGACAGAGATCCAAGAGAACCAATTCTTTCAAAAGAACAAAAAGAACATTTGTAGCCCAGGCTTTCCTCCCTTCTGACAGAGGCACAACATTCACCAAGCACCCTGCGGGGCTCCAGCAGTTCAAACAATCACAGGGAGCAGATCTCTCCAAATAAGCTTACCATGAGATTTTAAAGTTTAACCCATCTCCCTAGGCCCTGCTTGGAGCTGTGGTGTGATCAGAAACCAGCATCAGACAGGCAGGACCTGTTTCAGCTGTGTGTGCCCCCCACCAGAACACGCAGTGAGTGGGGAGTGGGTGTACAGATCAAGGACTAATATTTTCTCCAGACTGTAAACAATTAAAAATTTTTAGTTTTTAAATTACATGCAGGCTAAAAATTGCAGCAATTATATAGTTGCAGCTATAAATGCAGCAATTTTATATAGGTGTAAAATTAATGTATTTATTGACTAAATATATCAACTTTATTTAGATATTAAATTATATTTCATTTGATTATGCCAACAAAATGTCCTCAAGAAATTTATTCCTGGATCAAGCAGTGTTTACCCTATCAAGAAGTTTTACAACCGATGCTCAATTTGTACTTCTCTACAGTGGTGAAATAACAGACATTGAAAAAATATTTTCTTGGGGTACTATACCATTCAAATTTTCACTGTAACCATATAAACCAGGAGTCTACGTTTGGTAGCTTACATTAACAGAATCCAGCGCCTCTGCTCAGCATACATGGAAGTCTAAGATATTGCCTCTGTATTTACATAAAGACTTTTACCTAAAAGCAATGTAAGCACTTTGAATAACTTCTCAAACTGTCAGGTTTGTTTCTGTCATGCATTTTGTGAATACAGAAAGCAAGATATTTAACAGCCAGTGTTGAACAAGCATATCCCCTTTCTACTGAAACAGGTCAGTGGCACATATGAGAAGCTCCAGGTATCCAGAGAGAGAGCTTCAACACAACACATTTTTAACACGTAGGATTCAACATTAAGAACATTTAAGCTCCTACAAGAATATTGACATTAATTAAGTTGTACAGAATAAAGGCTACGGAAAAATGACTAGAATTGCCGGAGGGTCCACAAACAATGAGAGCACACTTCAGGAAACTTGTAAGAACATAACCTGTGAAAGTATGTGCAGATGGAGCAGATAATGTGTCAGATCAATTTACAGCCAGACACTGGACTAACAGCAAGTGTTTCTGGTTAGCCCACACTAACGCCTCAAGAGAGGCAAAGAGAACAATACACACCAACAGAAAAATCTCACTGCTTTTAATAAGTCTTAACATGGCACTAAAGCACCAGTGAAGGAGCTTTCATCAAGGAATACAGCTGCTCTGCCAAAATAAGACATTTTTTGTGTGCATGTACACCCTTCTACAAAGCTATTTACCTACAACTACAGGAGACAAAAAAGACTGACACAAAATCACACATGTAGGTAACTTCTCACCAAATATATGATCTAAAGAAATAAGGAAACACTGCATAAATTGTTGTATTTTTAAATTATTGCCCTGAGAGTTCATGGCATATAATTTTGCACAGCCTCTTCAATGCATTTTAAACACTTTCCTACAAGTACTATTTCAGGAGGAAAAAAGGTACCATCACATAAGTCATTCACTGCTGGTTTTACTGCTGGTTTAAAATTTATAGACAGGAAATGTAATATTTTTTTAAGTACATTAAAAAGGGTTTTTTGCTGACAGAGTAATTAAAATTTTATTTGGAACATGAAAGTAAATATTAAATGTAAAGACACATTACAAATGCAGTTTCAGTTTTACTGTTAACAATCTAAACACTTACCTGAAGATTGGAAAGACAATTTAAATAAGGCTAGCCTATCAGTGTATCTTTAGGTTAATTCTATTTACATGTGAAAGTTAAGATAATAAAAACTCTAAATACTGAAAATTAAAAAGTAAGGTGATTTTATATAGACTTTTATTACTAGCTGGAAGTTAATTTCAATGATGTCTCTTTGAAACTCCTTTAAATTTTGCAATTTCATCTTCTCAAAACATTAGAGAAAATAATTACTTAATATTTTCATGATGAAGTTCAGTGACACATGAATGACCACTCACTCAATTGTCTTCCAGAGATGTGGGTGAAGAATTTTAATCAATCTAGTGTCCTTTGCAATGTGTTGCATTACAAAGTATCAGCCAAGATAAGAAGAGGTCAGGCATCCAGACTCCTGCTGCCCAGTAATTACTTCATGACCTAAACCTGTGATGCAGCACAGCAATTTTAACTACTATTTTTCAACTCCCATAGTTTTACTTTTGCCCTTATTTCCATTCTGAAGATCTTGCTATCTATTTACACAAACATCAAAGGTCAAAATAACTGAAAGTTTCAATTATCAGGAGAAAAATGGTATTTGCTCCAATTTTTCAATGCATTTTTCATCTGCCATTGTCAGATCAACAAACTGATAAACAAAGTCAATTTTTCTATTTGATTGGCTGCTCATCTTGTACATTCTCCTTTTCTTGTCTGCATTCCTGACCTCATCAAAGTTCTGGCCTGCAGGTCAAATAAGAGTCAGTCACCTGCTCATTTTTTTCTAAAAAGCTGGAAAACCAGTCTGTTCCAAATGGCCCACTTATGCAGGAAGTGAGTGGACCACATCTCTGTCCTTGAGAGGGCTTTTTGTGAGCTGCCAGTACAACTGAGAGGATATTACATTTGGCTAGCGGTCTTAACAGGCAGAAAGGCAAAGTCCCTACAAATTCCTAGAGATAACATCCTCAAATTCTCTATACAGCCCATACATTAGATACACACTGGATTACGATGGAATCATAGAACGGACTGGGTTGGATGGAACCACAAAGATCATCAAGTTCTAAATGCCCTGCTGTGCACAGGGACACCCTTCACAGGGGCAGGTTGCCCAGAGCTCCACCCAACCTGGCCTTAAGTATTTCCACTTGTGGATGTGTGGGCACCCACAACTTCTCTGGGCATTTTTTACCTCTCTATAGGGACATCATCTGAGCCTTCCTCTAAAGAAGCCTCTCTCAGCTGCTGTGTAGACAGAATCCATCATCCTCAGACAGGTGATCTTTATCAATGTCATGGTCTAACAGTCTTTATCGCTGCTGGACATGTCTTGCAAGCAGCTCATCAATATAAAAATGAAGAACTTCAGTTTTAGCACCAGAACTGTTTACTTACCTTTTCCCACTACAATTACTTTGGTTCAGTCCTCCCACTTGGTTAAGTGCAGACCACGCAGTGAGACCAACATATGGTAAGGCAGCAGCTTCTGTGTGACTGAGACACTTGGGCTTAAAAGATACCTGAAATAAAACCATTACAAAGTCACACAGCAGCTCCTATGTGACATATATTTAAATATTTAAAACAGCTTTACTGAATTGCAGATTGTGCATTGCACATTTTCAGCCATCTTCAAAACTAGCTGGAGTACAAATCAACCCAAGCACTAAGAAGTAAAGTGACTTAGATACTGAAGAAGAAAAATGCCAGTCTTTACAACTTTGATGTTTTGTTAGTCAGAGTTTTGGAAGTTTACCTCGTTTCCACTAGCTACCACAAACTCTGACAGAGTGCCTTGTTTCCATGGGGGAATTGCTGCCCACACCTAAAACCAAACACAAAACAACTATCAATTTTTGTAGCTTTGCACACAATTGTATGTACACAGAAGTTTCCCTCGTTAAAGAAATCTTTTCTAATCTTTTCTAATTCACAGGATGTCTTCACTGTTTATCAGAAACCAGTTTTAGCTTATTTTACACCAAAAACAAAAACCCACAAAACCGACTAAATGAAGGACTGGAGGGCTATGTAAATAAATTGTACCATTGCATTTTGTGTAAGACATAATTTTTCAACCCTCCCCAAAGTACTCCCATGCCAGGAAAGCCCAGATTAGAGGGGTGAGGATGGTGCAGAATCAGGATTTGCTATGCTGAAACTGGTGAAATGTGAAAGCAAACAGTGTCAGTATTTGTGTGGGCACCCATGAAGTGCTTCTTGGGTTAAGCCAAAGTTCCTACTCTAAGTCACTCAAGAAAAATAAAAACAAATCCCTTCTTGCTAGAATTCTACCTTCAATTAAAAACAAAGTGGCACTTTGACTGTGCACTTATAAACAAACAAATGCCACTCTTGCTACTGCTGCAATGGTCCAAAAACTAAAACCCAGAAGGGAAATTAACTTGCAGAAGCAAGTCCCTGAAAGACCATGAGACCATGTTTTTCAGAGAAAAAATGAAGTGGAGGAAGTATTCTAGTAATTTACTGCCAGATAGGCCTTATTAAGAGTGCAACAGCATTAAAAAATAATTAAGAGGAGAATGAATGCTGAACATCTCATAGTATATTTTAACTATACATTTTGGAAAAGGAAAAAAAAAGGGATTGGTGGTATCACCTCATCTCCGGGTTTGAAATAAGACACACCCAGTCCACATTCCATAACAACACCAGAGACATCTCGACCAAGCGTTAGAGGAAATTCAGTCTCGCCGCTTTTGAGCTTCAGGGGATCCCGCTTCATATTTAATGCAGTCGCGCCATAACCACCTGCAAAACATGGAATCAACCACAACATACCACGCTGAGTGTTCATTCATTAACTGTGCAATTCCAATTAGAAAGCCCCGGCCGCGGCTGCTCGGGCTCGGCACTTACTTCTCATGCTGAGGTCGATGGGGTTCAGGCTCGCAGCGTGAACCTTAATGATGACCTCGTTCGGGAAGTGTATGATGGGGAACATCATCTCCCTGGTGAAGCGCAGCACCTCGTTGCTGCCGTACCGGTCTATGACCCAGCTGGGCATGGCGATCCGCGCCCGCGGAGAAGCGCGGAGCCCGCGGCTCGGTACCCGCCCGCTCGCCCAGCGCAGCGTCCGCCCGCCCGCCGCTCCCCACGACAGCATGGCCGGGGCAGCCGGGCCGGGCCAGGCCGCGGGTTCGCGATCGGGATCAGGATCGGGATAAGGACGAGGACCGGGATCGGGCCGGGTCGCTCCTTCGCCCCGCAGCGCTCAGCCCGGCGGCCCCCGAGCCAATGGGCGGCCGCCTTCTTGGCCGCCCTGCCAATGGTGCCGCGGGGTGTTGCGGCAAGATGGCGGCGCGCGGCTGCCGCGCCGGGAGAAGAGCAGGGGTGGCTCGGCGAGCCTGAGGAGGCGGCGGCGGCGGGCAGGGAGAGCCATGCTGCGCGCCTCTCTCCGACAGGTGAGTGGGGTCTGTCCGCCTGCCGGGGATGATGAGGAGGGAGACGGGTTTGCAAGGTGACCGGGGTCCCCTCGCGTCCCCCTTCCCCGGGGCGGCCCGGGAGGGCGCTTCCCGTGCGCTCCTTCCCTCAGCGGGAATGGCGCTTTCTTCCCGTTCCGCCTCGGCGCGGCCTCTGTGACCCGGCTGCCCTGAACGACGGGCTGCGCTCTCAGGTGTCGGCGGCGTTGAAGGAAGGACGAGTCAGTCCCGCGGAGCTCTGCCAGCGATGCCTGGCCCTCATCAAAAGCACCAAGTTTCTGAATGCATACATTACTGTAGCGGAAGAGACCGCTTTGAAGCAGGCTGAAGAATCAGAGGAAAGATATAAAAGAGGTATGTTGGTTTGTAAGTAATGTCAGTCCTTAAAAAGCTACTGAGGAGGAGCTGTCACTGTTAGACGAAGCACTTTTGCTTTTTAAAGGGGTTGTCTTGGCTTTTTGACTCTTGGGGGATGAGGCTCATGCTTGAGGTTTCCGTGGGTGCTCGTGGATGTACACTTGGCACTCAGGAGAGTATTTAGGCCAAAAAACAGAGGGAAGACCTGGACCGAACAAGGCACTGCCGGTTAAATAGACTCTGTGCCTCTTGGATAGCTCTGCTGCTTCTTTCCCTCAGCAGTTCATTTGGAGCATGTAGCCAGCAGATGCCATGAATGTGTGGTCATTCACAGGCCTCCACACGGGGATAGGCAAACACCTGGCACAACCCATCGAGTTTTTAATTAAGAAAGCAAATCAAAATAGAGTAGCTTTTTAAATTGCAGTTAGTAATTGGAGAACAGAACAGCTTTCAGTCCTGTTATGTGTAGCATTTAGATGGCCATCCTCATTTTCCTTTGTGTTTCAAGAAAGGCAGGAAAGGTATCTTTTCACCTAATAGAGTGCATGTTTTCCTTCCTGTGTGACACTTACTGGCCTCTGACAGCTCAATAAAATTGTTAGCCAGGTTGTTTTGCTTCCTGATGTAGGCCATTTAGTTTTTGGGTTGGGATTTTTGTGGTGTTGGTTGGTTCAGTGTTTTTTTAATGGTGGATAATCAATTACTTGGGATGGATTTTCTCTGCTTCAGTAATTAATCTACTGTGTATGTCAGGTAGGCAGTGTTTATGGCTTCCAGCCTAGTGATGGGATGGATTTAGTAGCACCTATGGCTGAAATAAGCATTGTGTGGTGACGTTGGAATGCACTCCTTTGGGATAGCCAGCCTGGAAAGCAGGTGGAGGGCTTAGACACGAGGTCTGGTTTGGACAGAGTGCTCAATGCTTGTGTTGGAATGGAAGATGGTTCTTGAAAATGGAACAGACAACCATCAAATGCCAAGTGAAAAGCAATTTTGCTTTCAAAAACCACCCAAAGGGACATGTAAAATAAACAGTAATTGATGAGAACATTACATATATATATATATATATATATAGCACATTTTGCTTTAATCTCAGTTGTTTTATGATCATTCCTAATACAGGCCAACCACTGGGCATTCTAGATGGAATTCCTATTGCTGTAAAAGACAACTTTAATACAGCTGGTATTGAGACAACATGTGCATCAAATATGCTAAAAGGTACAGTAAAGCTTTTAAAGTAAAATCAGATATTTTGCTCTTCAGATGGTTTATGGACTGGAGTCTTCCAGAAATCCCAAGTATTTTCAAAAGATGATCTGGTGCCATTTGATGAAATACATTTATCCAGTTTCACTAGCCAAGTTCATCTGCTACTACAGATGGATCTTTTTCTTCTTCTAAGCACATTATCTCCTTATTTATATTTATATGCATCTAACAACATTTGTAATAAAAACGTATATACTACAATAAAATGGTTCCAAAATTCGCATTTTCCTTCACATTGCTTTTAGGTCTAGAGGAGAGCAGTCAGTAATGTCCTACCTAGTGACATGCAAAGACAGTCCTATTTTGTTGTTTTTCTGTTTATAATTGGTAAATAATAAATAAATAACTTAAATAGGTTTTTCATATGGCTGTAGGAAAAGCAATTGTTAACAATCCCAACATACAATCACGTTCTATAATGCTTTTAAGACATTTTTTTAAATTTTCTAAACATATTGTTTCTATTAACAGTTCATAAACGTTTTCAAGGCATTACAATGTTTTTATAGTAAAATCAAAAGTAGGAGACATTTCTTTATCTGTTTTATTCTCCACAAAGTAAAACTTTATGTTAATCCTTGTGGAAGATAGCAGAAGTAAATTAGCAGGCCTCTAATTTGATTGCGGTTTTTTTTAATAGCAGAAAAAGAAACAAAATATTACTTCACTGTTGTAAAAGTTGCTATATTACTTGAGATGCTTTTCCATAAAGCACATTCTCAGAACTGTTGTGATTGATTGCAATGAGTATGAGGAGTGATGTCCTTGTTCCTGATGAAAGTGGGAGTGAAGAAAGCCCCTGTTACCATCACGAAGTGAATTGGTTACTACTCGAGGTCTCGTGTCACTTCTCGTCCTAGGTTATATAAGGTCTGAGTGGTAATGCCAGCGTCAAAATGTTCAGAGTAGCTACCTGTAAAAATAACTTGTATCTCACCAGTTGCTCTTAATTGTTCTGATTGTTTTCAGGTTATATTTCTCCTTACAATGCTACAGTAGTTCAGAAGTTACTGGATCAGGGAGCTGTGCTTTTAGGTAAAACAAACCTAGATGAATTTGCAATGGGGTGAGTGATGTTTATTATTTTTAATGTGCTGATTTTACATAAAATAGCATACATACCATCTGTTCCAATCTGCCTGTAATCCGTAACTCCTGTTTCTGTGGGGCAAGACAACAATGAATACTTGCTGGAAGGGTACACAGAGCTGGCTGAACTTCTCCTTGAGCCTGTATGGTGTTGTGTAAATGATACAGACGCTGAGTTTTGTGAACATAGTGTTCAAATGTGCATGAGAGGCAGGAAGCAGTCCAGCTTTTGCAGAAGGCTCAGGACAAGTGGCCTTCTGGTAGATTCAGTAGTCTTGACAGAATTGGTTACTACATAGTTAATTGCTGCCTTTTCCTCTCTCCTTACTGATGGCTTTTTGCCCTTAGGTAATTGTTACCATGCCCCCAGGGGCAGCCACTGCCTCTGCCATCCGGCCACTGGGGTAATTTATATGGGTACTCCCTGACTTGCTGCACACAGACTAATCAAGAGCAAGGCTTTTAAGTTGCCTAAGTTAATGGTGGTGACTTTTTGTCAGGAGCACATTGAAAAATGTTCCTACAATTGATTCTTCTGCAAATCAGTGAAGGCAGCCAAGCTGTAACATAGAATGGCATCAGGCTGTTAGGGAATTACTGCTGGGTTTGGAAGGGAATCTCTGGGACTTTAGTTACTTGTGAAAAACAGTAAATGCTGTATTTTGGTTTTATTATACTTGAAACGAAGTCCAAGGTTTGATTGGAAATTCACGTGGATGTTGTGGAATTACTTGGAAAATACTGTTTTGAGGAAAGTAATTTTTATGTAAAAAAGGTATTCCTCAGAGGAAAAGCAGGCAAAAAGCTTGGGAGAAACCTGATAATGCAGTTTTACAACTGGTCTTATTTCATTAAAGCACAGGATTCTCCTAAAGAGCTTATCCCAATACTAGTTTCTCATTCTGGTGTGTGTGTTTGCATGGTCTCTTCATCAGGGGGTGGATCCAGTACTCAAGTAATGATGTCTCAATAAGGTTGGTTTCCGGCTGCTGTCAGCTGCCTGTTGTGTCTGATGATATAGCTGGTAACACTGGCACCTTGCAGTCAGGGGGAGCTTGGGGTAGAGGGCCTGAGGAAGGGGGAAAGTATGCCCTGCCCCTGCTTCAGGTGTCAGCTCACACCTAGGTGACACAAGGGGACTGAATCCAGTTTCTGAGAAGCCAATCTGGCATTCTGAACCAGTGAACTGTGGCCTCTGCAGAGGGCTACAAGGTGAATAATAGTGCGGCATTTCAGGGAAATGCATGTTCCTGGTACTGTGGAGCTTTTCCTCCACCTCTAGCAGCCTGTTTTTCCTCACAACAGTGACCTTGCATCTAATGCAGGGCTGGAAAAACAGAACACCTTGGTTTTGAAAGAGATGTGCTCCTGTACTTTTACATAGCTTAAATCAGTTTTATGTCTTTGTGACTCTGTTTGTTTCAGTGGCATTAGCAGAAGTTAGAAAGAAGTACCAGTTCAGGTTCTGTGTCAGAAACTGATGAACAGCTATGAATTTTACAGTTGTATGTAATGTTGTAGGAGTTGACTGCTCAAGGATTTACGTATACCAGTCTTCTTGTGTTGAAATTGAATTTGCAAGGATAATGAGGAATTGGATTAAAAAAATTAAATTGAGGAATACAAGTGTGTCATTTGTCACTTCTGTCTGTATTTGTCCTGTCTGACTATCTTAGTTCTGGGAGTACGGATGGAGTATTTGGACCAGTCAGAAATCCCTGGAGTTATTCAAAACAGTACAAGGAAAAGTCTGTCCCAAAATCCCATTCTGAAGATGAAGAGTCAGACTGGGTAATAACAGGAGGGAGCTCAGGAGGCAGCGCAGCTGCTGTGTCGTCTTTCACATGTTTTGCGTAAGAGGCTTTTAAAATTGTCTTTCCCTAAATGTCTAAAAATATGTTGGAATGTTTTAATTTTATAATTTTCTCATAAGCTAGTAAGAAATAGGAGGGTTATTGGCACTGGCATGCAAAACTTTATTTCAGCATCTCTAGGCTACTCGTGACATATCATGAAGCCAGAATTAATGCATGTGGGCAAATTTAGATTTACTCATTTCAGGCATTATTCAGTGGTATGACCACTTTGCAC